CGCTGGTGGCGGGGCGAAGCGCGGCCCTCACCTGCCAAGTGGTGGGGGCCCGACCTGCACCCACCATCTCCTGGTGGAAAGGACCCACAAAAATGAATACTGTCACACAAACGGTATATTCATTTATTTGATAAATACATACATTGCATGTTCAAGTACACAAAGAAATTAAAAAATATTGTAGACAAAAAATGTAATAAAAAAGAACAGATGATAGATGTATATAGCGATTACCAGATTTTTTTTTTAATTACCACTATATGATAAATCATCACCCCCACCTTAAGTAAGGGTAGGTCATAATTTACCAAGTTGGTTGATAGACTGTACTATAAATAAAGTAATTTCATTTAAAATCGACTAATAGCCGGTTTCCCAATGAACCATTCGATAGTTACTGGTTCGATAAAACAATGGAATGTCTTTGTGAATTGCGAAAATTAGTTTTACTTCTTGAAAATTTGTTTTTATGAAAACTAATGAATTACTAGGTAATGGTAAAATGATTGGAATCTTCAGTAACCCAGCACATAATAAATGTACCCAAAAATATTGAAACAAAGTTAAGGAAACGTCAAGTGAAATTCGAAATCTAGTTTTTTTTTTTAGATTTCTAGTTCTCACGTCTATTGTAGATGTTTTGTGCTAATTTTTTATACCCTATGACACTCTGGTTAAGAACAGGAATCAAATGACACCTAAATTTTCATAATAGGTTTTGTCGTTCAGGCTATAGGCGGTTACAAAGAAACTTTTTTATCGTGTTTATACCCTTGTTTTTGAAGACATGATTAGAATTAAACCTTATACAAATAGTATAAGGTTTTATTTTGTTTGCGGCAATAATCTGCTTAAAACCCTAAAACGACAGAATTCGGTTTTAATTTTTTTTTGCTCATTTCAGTTAATCCAACAATTAATTACCTAAACTAATATTGTATCTTACCTTCAAATTCTTTACGAAACCAGGTAGGTAATTAAGAAAATGTCGAAGTAATTAAATAGTAATTAACTGGAAGTACAGTCGCGAACGAAAGCGTATATTAATTAAAGACCCCTCCATATTAATTACATCTTCAATGTACTTAATATCCGACCTCCGTGGAACCTTACACTAAATTTAGGGGAAGCAATTTACATTATTAATATTTTCACAAATATATTACCTCGATACTTGGAAATATTCTGTCGGCTTTTTGTGTACATCAATTACTTTGTTTGATTAAAAATAAATGTCATTAACTTCTTCGAAATACGTACAGAAATAAACACACATGTCTGTTTATGTTTACAATCAAATGAGCTGTTCCGCGCAATAACGGCCCATCCCACAAAATCACTATAAATTAGTTAACTACTTTTTGTATTGGTATTTGAACATAATATAAGAGACCATTTACCTACATAATTACGTAATTGTAATCCTTTAAAACGTTACTTGTACCAAAATATTTATTAAAAAGAAAACAAAAGTTGGGTCTTTTTTATGCCCTTTATTTCAATATGACTTTTATAAGGTTGGGCCACTGTTGCGCTGAGCAGCTCAAATACACATAACTCTCAATGTAATTTAATTTATGCTTCTTTATGCACTTATTTCCAAATAAAAAAACTTTAATAAGTAATTTATAAAAAAAAGTTTTTGAACATTCGTCATTGATCTCTATAAATAGACAGGCTATTAATTGTATTCTGTCTATTTGATTTTCACCATTATGTCGTTGATTACGGCGAAGTGTTTTCAAACTATCACTAGTGTATTGACTTAGAGCGCGCGTACAACTTTGACTAAACTATCGCACAATCGTTCCCTCGCTTTGATTCCTATGCACTTATATAGGTGCACTAATCGATTTTTAGTGTAACTAAACAGTTGAATTGCGAACCAATCGATAATCGCACGACGGTTGTGCGATAGTTTAGTCAAAGGTGTTCGACCGCACTTAATTTGTAATTGTAAAGTGTCATTAAATCTATATTCTTATAGACGGCATTGGATGGTAACATAACGAACAGCGTGTTAACATTTACGCCAAGTGTTGAAGACAGTGGTCGAGCGCTGTCTTGCCGCGTGGTGCAGCCAACACTGGCACAATCCACGAGAGAAGACGGTTGGAAACTGGAGATACAATGTAAATATTTACTTATATACTTAAGGCTTGTCCCATTAGTGGCTGATAAAGGCACAGATAGCTTAAAAGTGACATCACCGTACCAAAATCCGATATTTCCATCACATATTTTATCCTTTGGATTGTTATCTGACAATTTATAAGAATTCTAATACAGGCCCTAATATTTGTTTATGTATAATGGACTAGTTTTGCCTGTGACTTTGTTTGGATCGTATTAATTCTTAGTAAGTAAATGTCCTACAATACATCTGTGACATTAATATACGTTAAGCCTTTTTGGGGATATGTAGTAATAAACCTCCATCCAAGCTTTCGCATTTATAATATTAGTATGGTAAGAGCTTTACTAGAATCCGTGAAAATATGTCTATTACAGGACTGTTAAGTGATCAAAAACGGTGTGAATTTAATATTTCGCAATAGTTTAGATCTGTTTTACACTAGGTTTTGCCTTTGACTTCATCCGTGTGGATTTAAAAATAAAACTAAGTAGCGTATGTGTTCTACCAGACTATGCTATATTCGAAAATCATAGAGATCCGTTCTGCAGTTTTGGCTACAAACTAACATATCTAAACTTTGGCATTTATAATATTAGTAAGATTTCTTCGTCATTTAGGCTTTGTTACCTTTGACTTTTTTAGCACTTGTATTCAACTTAGGTCTTATTTCCAGATTTGCCGGTAGTGAAACTAAGTATCGGAGCTAACATTAACCCTGACAAAGTTATAGAAGGTTCTGATGTATATTTGGATTGCCAAGTGCGCACCAACCCTTGGCACAGTCATGTTTCCTTTACACATAACGTAAGTTACTTTCAATGTGTAAATACCCTAATTAAGGGTTATTTCAGATTCTGTCGTGGAGGGTTCGAATCCCGCTAATCGACTACACTATTCCTTTTGAAACTTAGTTACAATGGTAAAAATATGTTGATAGCGCCAATAGCCTAATGGTTTGGGATACGGACTACCGATCTTGTGGTTGAGGGTTCGAATCCTGCCGTTCGACTATTGTCGTGAACCATATCCTAGCACAAGCTTAAAGCTTAGTTGGAATGGTAAAAAGAAATATTAGTAAATTAACAAAAATCTACTAATACATGAAAAAAATTACAAAAAATCTGAAAAAATCATACGTACAGATATCATTACTTACTTTTCACTTAAATTAAAATATATTACATTCTATCTAGAATCTACTTAAATAAAAAACTCTTAATTAATTGAAATCCCATAATTATAATTATATTGCGAAAAACTTTTAATTTGCAAATGTCAAAATTCAAATGCTATATACGCCGTCTATAACCGCCGGACCACGACACAGTGGCTTCCAGCCCCGCGTCATTTAAAAATAAACTTAAGTCAGCTAATACAAAAAGCCTTTATAATGTCGAGGATTTTTTCCTACAATGATTGTTTTATGTACACAGTTTTCATTTAGAATATCTGTAAAGTTTTTTTTTTATTTTTAACACTAGCTGTTCCCGTGCGACTTCACCCGCATAAAATAATGAAAACTTTATTTTGTTGTTTACATTTGTCAATTTATCAATTGCAAATATCAAAATGACATGACATGACAAACCATGGTAACCTTGCTTCCTTGATGTTGGCAGCAACTTATGGTCTCTTTCCCACATTAGGGTTCTTATCCGAAATGTTTACCCCCTAAGTTTAATGGCTTGAAATATATAGCCTAAAGCGTGACGTAAGTGTAGGGCTTTTTATTAAAAAAATAATTATTCAAAAATATGCTGTAGTTGCTGGCATCTTAGGCAACAGAAGTTTGTGTTTACGCTTTATTATAATTTTAACATTATGACTTGTAATTCGTTTACCAATAAAATATTTGTATATGTATCAGGGTGTATTAGTGAAGCCTGGTGTCGGCGTGCTCTTAGCGAATCAGAGCTTAGTGCTGCAGCACGTACCGCGCGCGGCCGCCGGCGCGTACATCTGCGCTGCTAGGAATGCACTGGGAGATGGACATAGTGAGCCGCTAATGCTTGATGTTAAATGTAAGTATAATGGTAGGGGATAGAAATAGTATGGAAGTAGTAGTTTCAATCGAGTGAGTAACAGTGGTAGGAGTAATAGAAGTCGTTTTAATCGAGTGAGTAACAGTGGTAGGAGTAATAAAAGTCGTTTTAATCGAGTGAGTAACAGTGGTAGGAGTAATAGAAGTAGTTTTAATCGAGTGAGTAACAGTGGTAGGAGTAATAGAAGTCGTTTTAATCGAGTGAGTAACAGTGGTAGGAGTAATAGAAGTCGTTTGATCGAGTCAGAAACAGAGGTAGGGGAAATAGTCGTTTCGATTGATTGAAAAACAGTGGTAGGGGAAGTAATAGTTTCGATGGAGTGACACAGTGGTAGGAGTAATATAAGTCGTCCATCGAGTGAGTAACAGAGGTAGCGGAAGTACTAGTGGATTTGATTTAGTGTAAAACAATGGTAGGGAAGACAGATGTTTCGATCGAGTGAGAAATAGTAGTAGGGGAAATAGAAGTCAACACGTTCTAGTTAGTAGTGAGAAACTATAGTAGGGGTAATAAAAGTCGATACATTCTATTTGTAAGTGAGAAACTATAATAGGGGAATTAGAAATTGATTCGATGGAATGAGAAAATGTGGTAGGGGCAATAACATTTAATTATATCGAGTGAAAAACTGTGTTAGGGGTAATAGAACTCTATTCGATCAAGTTATTAGTGAGATACTATAGTAGGTGTATTAAAAGTCGATTCGATCGAGTAAGTATTAACTGTGATAGGGGAAGTCCAACATTGGGAACTTCATTTGTTCGAGTAAGATCTATAGCTTGCTATTAGAGAAACAATAGTGAGGGTAACAAAAACTACTAAATGAAAAACCAGACAAAGGTTAATTTTTTAAAACTCTTTATTTGAGAAAACTATGTCAACTTTTATTCTATAAAAAAACAAAACCGACTTCCAAACAAAATACACGAAAAACAAAACAAAATGCACTAAAAACAAAACAAAATACACCAAAAACAAAA